ACGGCAGTTACCTACCAAAGACAGTGGATGAGGTTATGCAAAACCTTAGTTTGATCAAAGCCAGACATTAACACTGTGGCATGCTGGTACGGTGGTCTATAAGTTAAGCGTTCATGTGAGAGACCGAAGATTGTGGGTTAAATTCCCGCAAGTGGTGGTTGAGCATGCGCAGTGTTAATGATTCTCATACTAGAACGAGACGACCGTCCAGTACTTGCAGGTTTCTGATGGTGGTCTAACAATGATCAATTCGTCGTTTCAATGAAATTCAATAATCTTCACAGCTGTGTAATGAGAAATACCAAATTAATTGTAATATTTAGTTATCTTCATCAAATAAAGTTAATTCATTAAGTATTATTTTGATGAACATTCTTTTCACAGCACGTGATGTAGTAGCATCTATGGTTAAGAATAAAGTGAGTTCAATTCAAGATTTTGAATGGATAAGTCAATTGAGATATTATTTTTTACCAGAAGAATCAAGTAAAGTAATTGTATGTCAAATAACTACAGAATTGGATTATGGGTTAGTTAGTGTTTACAAAACTACCTTTCATTTATTGATACTTTTAATGTACTACATACACTATTTCTTTTTCTGGTTAGCGTTTCTTAACGAGTTAGTTTTCTGCGGGATAAGGTCGTTAACCCCATGCCTATTCCTCCCCCTTTACTCGGGCTTGGGGTCGGCAATAGCCCCAGAGGTGTCCCATGTAGGGTTTGATATTATGTGAAATTTGCTAAAATTAGCTAATGGGAATAATTTATAAAGTAGAATATAAATACAATCGGTTATGTAACTATTCGAACTATAGCTTAGTCATTATATTGCAGCACAAACACACCCTCAAGTTGATTAACACTACAAGAGTCATAATAACTAGTAGATTCAGAACTAACTACTGCCCAGTTGTATCATGTTAACCATGAGCACTTCATATTTAAGAGAATGATCAAAATTATATTACCGGAGAAAAACTAGTTGGAGCTATTTCCTTTTCCTAAAATTATTCAAATCTATTCTCTTTAGAGTACATATTTCAAAAATAGATATCAATATGATCATTAAATCATTATATACTAACGTAATTTTACTGATATATCGAAGAGCTTGAGAAAACTTTAAAAAATCTGATGTAAATTCATCTGTATGGAGTTAACAAACTTAAATGTTATGAGTGAAAAGATAAATATCACAAGTGATGAATGTATATCACTACAAAAAGGTAGCCTTTAATTAATAATGTCCATCAAGTGATTCGATCTATGATTCCATTAGCGGAAAAATAATATGCATAAACATCCCATGGATTGTATGATATGTCTAAATTATTCACAGACATGATCAGCTTAAGTCAGCTGATGAGGCACTACATAACAGTTTGTATATGAAAAATAGATGTACATAAAATTAAATTTGTACAAAGCCAACTTCGATGCTACTCACTATTGTGTGAGTGATCGAGAGTGGTGATTGGTTATATTGGAAAATATATCCAATAGGCAAACTGATAGTCCGACATGGATTTGGTGTGTTATATGTATTTTCCTACTCTTGTATTGATTTTTCATTCTCAGTTATTTTGTCAGTTGCTGACACTTGGCTAATGCATGCATGTTTTTCAATTGTTTAAAAGTCTGAGGTAAAGTGAGCGAACTGTATATGCACTGTTTCGAGCGTTCGCGCACAAGACCGAAGGTCCTAGGTTCCAATCCTGAGGGCTGCAGGAGTCGTGAATACGCACTGCTGATGAGTCCCAAACCAAGTCGAAACGGCCGTTCAGTGCTTCCAGATTTCTAATCGTGGTCTAACATTGATCGATTCATGATTTCAAATGTGTACCTTAACAATCTTCACAACCCCGTAATGGAAAAAATGATAAAATACCTTTGTTTTTAAGATTTGATGAGATTAAGATTTCATAAAAATACGTAAAAAGTAACAGTCTTATGAATTTTCAATAGTTTGTCAGCATATGTTTCATGATATTGTTTTCGATTGATCACATAATTTTTACATTGCTATCACTTGTTTTTCTTCCTCTTTCTAAATAAAGTTATGAATATTTGGGAAATACTCCGAGATTAGTCATTACACCACTGACAGATCGATGTTATCGAACACTTATGGGTGCATTAAAATTGAATTTAGGCGGTGCACCAGAAGGACCAGCAGGAACTGGAAAAACTGAAACATGCAAAGTAAATTTTTTGATTTCAAATTTTCATCCGAATGATTGACTGATAAAATCAACAACATTCCATATTCAGTTTTTATTATTGTTTAAATAAGAGTTTTAAAGATTTATAGACAAAAAGATACTAAAGTAGTAGTGATTTTCAGTATAGAGTTAAGGAGATTGTTGAGTTTCGCTGAAATCACGAATCGATCATTGTTGGACCACCATTAGAAGAAACCTGAAAGGACTGAACCAGTGGAGTTCAACAGTGTCAGGTGTAGGTAGTAACTTCCGAAGACCATGGATTAGGTTGCACAAAATCCCTAGACTGACCATCAACCCAGTGGTCTAGAAGTTAAGTATTCGCGAGCCAGACCGAAGCACCTGAGTTCAATTTCTGCGTGCGGGCGTCGTGGATGCGTACTGCTGAAGAGTCGTATACTAGGACGAAATGGTTGTCCAGTGTTTTCATGTTTCTAATGGTGGTCTAACATTGATCAATTTGATTTCAATAAAATAGTAATGATAATTAAATAATATGCCAGCAAGACTGTCCATTCATCTTTCAAAATTTGTGTACATTAGTGAATAAAATTTTTTGTTAATCTTCAATAGTTTGTAGGTAGAGCATCGGCCTCATAAACTCCGAAGACACTCAGGTTTCATCAGGAGACTTCATGATTCTTCTACATGCAGACCTTTCAACCGCCAGGGATGAGTTTAAATGATTTGAGTTATTTCTTCTGGCTAGTGTTTTTTTAGCTAACTAGTTTTCTACGGGATGAGGCTGTTAACCCTATTCTCAACCCTCCTCCGTAATCCGTGCTTGAGACTAACAGTAACCCTAGAAAGTTTCCAGGAGAAGTGTTTTTCAATTTTAACGCTTCTATTATCAAAACAGGAATATTGTAATTCTGTTTTTTTTTCATAATGTTTCATTTTAATTTTTTTACCAAACTCTTCAAAAATTAGGATTTAGCTAAAGCTATTGCTAAACAATGCGTTGTATTCAATTGTTCCGATGGTCTTGATTATCGTGCAATGAGTAAATTTTTCAAAGGACTTGCCCAAGCTGGTGCATGGGCATGTTTTGATGAATTTAATCGTATTGAATTAGAAGTATTATCAGTAGTAGCTCAACAAATTCATTGTATACAAACAGCTATTAGTGCTGGATTAAAACGTTTTGTATTTGAAGGCACAGAATTAAGTTTAAATCCAACATGTACCATGTTTATTACAATGAATCCAGGTTATGCTGGACGTCAAGAATTACCAGATAATTTGAAAGTAAGTTTATATTGATAGATGATAGAAATATGATTTTAAAAAAATTATTTTAAATATTATCACTGAGTAAAATATTATGTTGATCAAAGAAAATATAAGCATCAATCTAACCAATCGATTAACCCGTCAACCAATTTACCGATTGGACAAGAAAGTAACCAATAGAAATGCTTTATGAAAACAATTTACATTAATTTAAATGAAGTCATCATATGGTTTAAGATTGGACACGCATCAATGATTGTTTATAAGAAAAATTCTTCTCCTGTTCTATTGTTATAGATCTAAGTTAATGATCTAAAAGTTTGGTCAAGTTTAACGTGAATATATCGTTTAAAATTATATTTATATGACGTCAGAATTGTTTGTAAAATAAAATAAAATTGTTAATTTTCGCATTAGAGTTTTATGGAGATCATTGTTTTTTCGGGGAAATCACGGGTCAGGTTGATCAAAATTCTTAGATTGATCAGAGTTAGACAATAACGCCGTTGGATGCCACCAAACCAGTGGTCCAGAAGTTAAGAGTTCGCGCGTAAGACCGAAAGTCCTGGGTTTGAATCCTGTGAGCAACAGGAGTCGTGGACGCACAATGCTGATGAATCTCATGCCAGGACGATACGGCCGTCCAGTACTTCCAAGCTCCTAATGGTGGTATAACAATGAATCACTCATGATTTCAATGCAAAAGTGTTAATGTTGTGAAATCCATAATTCATAATGAATGGTATTATGGATACGTTTACACGTTTTAGAGAAATAATAATATAATTACAACTCAGATGAAATGCCTGGTTGAAAATCATGTAATTGCAAAAGGAATTACAGAATTATCCAAATTTTGTTAACAGCTATTAAGATCTTATATGTAGCGATAGCCAAGAACAGTTTTTCCCTCAATTTAATTCTTCACAGCACCTATTCACTTGTCCGAATGATTGTTACCACTTTTAAGTATTTAACCTTCTATATGTCCCAAGGTTCTGTTCTAAATATGACAGATTATGTCAAATGATTAATGTATGTGAATGGTCAATTCACAGTACTTGTATAATTCCATTTGAACTCATTATTCAGATTAACATTTATCCGAATTCAATCAACAGAATAATCTAAACACAAGGTTGTAATAAGTTGATATTCACTAGGAAAAAATGTTACTCATATAAAGGAAACAAATGTTCCCACAAATGTCAGATACCAATTCCACAATAAGTCTTCCGATTAAAATTAGAATTGTTCAATAGAAATGTTATGCTCGTCAACTGATATGCTTGAAAATATTACGAGTTCACCTTAATCGGTAAACGAAAGCGAAGACAAGTGATCCAGTGACACGATAGACTACTCTAATCTGACCGTCCCAAGGCCCCACTAAGCAGGGGAAGAAGTTTTGATATGGAGTAGAAAGCACCCAGAAAATCGAGGTTCACAAGCACATAAATCGAGTTTATGTATACATGATAGAAACGTCTTTGGGAGAACCACAAAAATAGCGTACTAAAATAATACATCAACCAATAACAGTCAAGGATTTTCGGGTGGGAAATATAATCTCAAGGTCAACTGATCAGCCCATGCGCTAAAACGGAATCCAAAATTAGGACCTTTATCAAGTGAGTTCTGGGGATCTAACGTCCAAAGCAAGAAACTTTTCTGACTGGAACATTAAATGATGTAAGTTTAATATCCAAGAAAAGTATTAATCACCTCAGGATTGTGAATAAACCTTACTGGTCAGTGCTAATGAACAAAACACCTAAATCTACAAATTTAAACTATATTAATATGAACTAAAAACGAAGTGAATCGTATTATTGAGTCACTTCAGTCTCGTGGTTACAGTAAAACGTTTTGTGCAGAATTCTGGAAGAATTAAAAATTAATCAGTCTAATGTTTAAAATACCTAGGGAAAAGTGAGTACTGGTTCACATGAATACTGTATTAAAATAAATCCTAAACTTTATATTTTCAACTGAACATAACTTGAACATTTTAATGATTCCACAGGAATGATGCTATTCAAAAACTTAGCGTAATTTTAATATCATCTTGTAAAACAAAATGAAAAATAGATCTGTTCATTGCATTTTATTGCAGATCGATTTCACCTAGAGGGCACTGAACAGTGATTTCGTCCTGACAAATGACATTTCCGAATAACGCCCACCTCAGGGATTGAACCCAAGGTCTTCTGCTAGTTCATAAGAGTAGCTATTCATTAAGATGCTACGATTTGTAGCTGTGATGAGGGTTTGCTCGCTCACTTTTGAAGAGTCAGTCACATACTGAGAAGAATCACAATCTAGTTTTCAATTTTGCCCAAGCTGAGTCTGTGATGAACAGAATCTACAAATTAAGTGAACCTCAACAAAAACATATTTAACGCAAAGATTTGTTTTTTGTAAACTGATGACTGTTGCTTTGTGACAAATTATGAATGATTACTGGATTCGATCATAGCAACTCATACCTTATTTGTTTTCCCATACTGAATACAGTTCAAAGTAAAAATAAACAGAAATAGATTTGTTTGACTATCAAACATAAGTGTTCTCACGTGGGTAACTCATAAGATTGGATTATATTATAATTGAATATTACAACCTAAAATCATTGAACAAACTACCTATTCTCCTAAATTAGCTGAAAAATTTTCACAGCTGAGCTTCAATTATAATATCAAGAAGTTCTGCAACAACACTGATCAATCTTCAATGACTGTAATTTCAATGTCATTAACAGTGATTTTCATTCATCAATAATTAAATCTTTAATGACAAAATTAATAGAATGTATGGTTTTTGTTTATAGTAACAGATAACGAGAGGCATATTTCATACCATTCATTTTATATTCACATTGAAACTTGAACATAGTACTTTTCAATTCAAACGCCATTGAACTATCGATTGAAGTATTAACTTTTTTCAACAGATATGGTTTTTTGTTACAATAATAAGTCTGTTTGGACACTTTATACAGAATTTATATATGCCAAGAAAAACTAGTTGAAAATCTTGTCCTGTATATCAATGAAATCATTCAAATTTAATGATATGGGCGTAATTCTGTCATTAATTTTATTTAGTACCATTAATATGAACTTTTGGTTAAAATAAAATAACTGATCAGTTGATGTAAACATCTTAAAAGTCTTGATTGTTGTATATTTTGCAATTATTAGGTACTATTCCGTTCAGTTGCTATGATGGTTCCTGATTATGCTCTAATCGGTGAAATATCTTTATATTCAATGGGTTTCATTGATGCTAGATCGTAAGTTTGTTTTTTTATAATTCTAGTTCTATTTACTATCGTTCATTATAAACAATTATCTTTTAATAGAACAGTGGAGAAGACGTAATTGATCTGAAATTATGTGATGTATTTGTGCTATACATTTCGAACAATCTGGTCACACATATTTACTTGTCAAGACATTTTATATGAAGATTAATAATAGGTCAATTAAATAAAAGTTCAAATAGACAGAAGGTGATAATTGTAAATGAAGGGTAGTGAAAATTAATGTAAAGTAGAAAGAATAAGAAGGGGTAGGAAAATTGTCACATTATCTGAGGGTTAAAGATTACCAAGGTAAATTCAAGGTTATGACAAATTGTTTCTGCACACATAAGGGGAGTTTTAACTTTCTAATAGCCAAGGCCTCCATAGAACTCCAAATTCGTCCTTCAACATTTCTATACAATGTTTTGACGGCTGTCTTGATGTCAATCTTATGCCCTGTCTCAATTATGTGTTTGGTGATCGATGAACATGATTTTCTGTTTCCAACGCTAATCAGCTCATCTGACGTTAACTGATTTTGAAGCCACTTAGGTACATGTTCCATAACCCTTGATTGCAAAGTCCGATTACTCCTCCCTATGTATGTGTGTCCACACAAACATGTAAATTGTTAATTGACCTTTTATTCATCTTCATATAAAATGCCTTGACAAGTAAATATGTGTGACCAGATTGTTCGAAATGTATATCTTTTAATCTAGTATTCAAAAAAACCACTTAAGAGAATGGATGGTTTGATGATCTGTGTTAGGCAGTCAAAACAATTGTAATCCCTAAGACTTAAACAAGAATTGTAAAATTCGGCAATTTCTGAGAAAATCTTACATTCTAAAAATGAATCCCATCAAGCAGTTCACATTTAATAAAAGGCAAGTGGAAAAGGGCCACATGCTAATACGGGTGACCAACAAAAACTCGACCTTCAATAAGGGTGTAGTAGAAGATGGGGGAAGATCAAGAAAGGAAGAGTGAGAGAACACAATGGAATTTGTATGAAACGCATGAATAGTGAACGGTCAGACAATGGATTGATGATGCATTGAAGATTTGCAAATTAACGGTTACGATATGGTTTTCCTATTTTACTGAGTAACTCTGTAATTTTCGTTAAATACAATTCAGTTGCCCTCACCTGTGTTCTCCTTCACTACAGTATCAATAAAGATGATCACTTAGAGGGGGGAAATAACATTTTTAATGGTGTGAAAATATGTTTGGTTTAGTTAGCCTCTATCTCTTCACCTTACAACTAATCAAAAACATCAAAACATCATGTTACCTGTTAGAATTTGCTGATTGTATATGTATATTAGAGTAAAGCCTGATGACGATCTAATCGAAAACGATTTTGTTCGCTTTTATGTGTTGTTCTAATTTTCATGATGGGAATCTTTAATACTCTTAAATGATTATACGACAGATGTACCGAAATTTTTAATAAATCCGATGATTATATACTATTAATCATACTAGAAATTGTACTAAATGCTAAGTCATATTGATAAGTAATTGTTAAAGGCTGACCTGTAGGCCATTTAATGGAATTAATCGAACCGAAGTACATCGATCATAAACGCTTCTTTGTTTTAATAGTAATATTTGTTCACATTATATTTAACAGATAATTAGAATAATATGCAAATCATTCCAATTAAGTAACCGATAGATGCCGTCCAATGCTTTCGAGTTTCTGATGCTGGTCTAACATTGATCGATTTACGATCTCAAAAAAAAATATCTACTTTTCTGTGATATTAACAAACAATTAATTAGATGATATGTTTTGTTGTTAAATGTTAAATACTCATACAGATCAATCGATAAATGCCTTATTCCATAAATGTATATTTGATGAAAGTTGCGATATCATTTTTAGATTGACGTTTAAGTAGTATGTGAAGTTATAATTTACCATGCCATTAAAGGGAAGAATACTGTATGATCAATTAAAATCAATTAGTTTGTAGAAATAATCATCGATAGAAAAAAAAAACTATTAACTAATTGAATGGATCCAATTTCAAGGAAATATTATCAAATTAGGCTACAGTGAACATCCTTAATGATCGATCATTTGATAGTGATCGATTTTATGATCACCAAGTGTTGTTCGAATCAATTTAAAGTGTAACCATTATTCTGAAGAACTTGATATCTCATGTACTATGAGATTTAATGAGAGACAATTAAATGATAGTCGAAAGAAAAATTAAAAGTAAAACCAATCTAACCAGAACAACTTGATGATGAGCTCTTATACTATGGGGATTGTACAATCCGAACTCAAATATTATGCGGGACATCTGTTTACATAAATAATTAATCCTGACCAGTTGGCTATTTAAGTCGAGAATATTCTTCTAGTTATTTCTAACCATCTGGTATTAAAGTTAAGTGTCATATTAAAAATAATAGATTTTAAAAATATAAAATAACGGATACTGAGTAAACTATGAGACTGTATAAAAAATCATATGAGGAAATGGTCATATTCATGTTCGAATGGTACTAATAATTTTTTTTTAAAAAAAATGTGTTCACTAGTGATTAGCTTCATGTGGAAATTCTCAGTGTTCTAGTGAGAAGCTGTGACTAGTCGAATTTAGCCGTGTTGAGTGTAAGTAGTTGCCTACGGAAGATAATGGCTGAGGTTATGCAATACCTTGGATTGATTAACGTTAGACATTGACACCATTAGCTCGGTGGTTTTGGGTTTACTTGTTCGGAAAGGAAACAGAAGGTCATGGATTGGATCCTTGCGTCATGGATGCGCACTAATGAACAGTCGCATACTAGGACGAACAAGCCGTCCAGTGGTATCCAGCAGTCTAACAATAATCGATTTATAATTCCAATCAAAATATGTTAAAAAAAATTTCCTGCCAATAAAATTACTTGTCTACAGGTAAAACTAATAGTAATCCCCATCTAGTAGAATTTCGTCAATGAATAGACATTTTAAGAAGACAATTGTTGGCTTACCAAGAATCGTTTCATATATTCAATATCCAACTATTGATCATACTAACAACAGAATATACAACTTTTTAAAGTCTAATTACAAACTACATCGTGTACATTGTTGCACAATATAACGGGAAAAAAGAAACATCATTGTAAATATTTATTCATACTCAAGTTTTTGAAATAAAATTCATGCTTTTTATGTATTCTTGAACAATTTATTTTTTTTAAAGATTAGCTAGTAAAATTGTCGCTACTTATCGTTTATGCTCAGAACAGTTATCATCGCAACATCATTATGATTATGGTATGCGAGCGGTGAAATCCGTGCTAACAGCAGCTGGCAATTTACGTCAAAAATATTTAGATGAAAATGAATCAGTATTATTGCTAAAAGCTATCAATGATGTGAATTTACCGAAATTTTTATCACAAGATATTCCATTATTTGAAGGTATTATATCGGATCTTTTTCCTGGTGTTCAATTGCCCAAATATGATTATGATCAATTTATGATTTGTTTACGTCAACAATTAAATAATCGTAAACTACAATCAATTCCATGGTATTTAGAGAAAATTTTACAAATCTATGAAATGATCCTTGTACGTCATGGTTTAATGATTGTCGGTGAAACGTTAAGCGGTAAAACACAAGCATATCAAGCATTAGCTGATACAATAACAAAATTAGTTGAAAATGATCAAATTGCCAATGAATATCCAGTACAATATGGGATTATTAATCCAAAAGCTATAACAAGTGGTCAATTATATGGACAATTTGATTTAGTATCACATGAATGGTCTGATGGTATATTAGCTGTAATGTTTCGTGAATTTGCTACGGTTCAAGATAATAAACGTAAATGGATATTATTCGATGGACCAGTTGATGCTGTATGGATTGAAAATATGAATACTGTATTAGATGATAATAAAAAATTATGTTTAATGTCTGGTGAAATTATACAAATGTCATCATTAATGAATTTAATATTTGAACCAGCTGATTTAGAACAAGCTAGTCCAGCGACTGTTTCACGTTGTGGTATGATTTATATGGAACCAGCTCAGTTAGGTTGGAGACCAATGGTTAAATCCTATTTAACTTATCAATTACCAGAGAATTTAACGGATGAATTAAAAGAATTAATTAATGATTTATTTGAATGGCTTGTTGATCCATGCTTAGAATACATACAAAATGATTGTAGACAATTAGTTTCAATATCGAATTTACATGCTGTGAAACAATTGATCACATTATTCGATTGTTTATTAGATGAAATACGATATTGGTGTACAATAAGTCAAAGTAAATTGATATAAAAAATTTTTTTGTGTGTGTTCGTTTTATCTTATTTAAAACAAGCTTTTCTCAATTTATGTGTATAACGGAATAAAAAAACCTGTCAAGATATTTGATCCATTTATGCATAGACTTGTGTCAGTATCATTGAGTACATGTCTGGACCTCAAATCTTTATCTATTCTCTCATTGGTTGCAATGATAGATAATCAATAACTTTATCCACATTTTGATTAACAGTCATAAAAAGATGTACACACATGCTTCCACTCACATCTAATCCTTTGGTTTTTGATGTGCCTACTTGTTGTGTGTTTTACGGGTTGCTTAATTCACTAACCTGTACATTATCCGAACAACGAATATTCTGGTTTCTTAATGATTGACTTGCTAAAGTACACTGTTAACGAGATTGTTTCTTGTAATCGAATGCATATCGGAAATAACCTTTATAAACTAAAGGGGTTTACTGGCCTGCGATCTGACTCCATTTTAGACAAATTGTTAAATATACTATGAAATAAATTTTGAGTAGAATTTTCATCTATCATTCTTTGACGAACCCTATTTGTGGGACGGCGATCATTAAGAAGCCAAATACGGATTCATTTGCTTGAGTCTATTTTATGCAATCATTCACCCAGATAGACATGACATTACAAAGCGCAAAAGCAAAATGAAGCGAAGAAGCCGAGTGAGCCAACTCTCAATGATGCGGCATGACTAAGTCAGATGAAAACAGGCAAGACATATAATGAGCGAGAAAGGAACTTTACACAGGTACTCACGTAAAAACAACCAGGGTTATAAGCAAATATTTGACAAAGTCAAATGATGTGTGTAACTTCAAGTGTGGTGCGCGCTACTTATAAGTAGTATATGACGCGAGTGAAAACGTAATGTCTGGCAGCAGAAGATGGGAGAAGATCAGGAAAGGAAGAGTGGGAACACAATGGAATTTGTATGAAACGCATGAATAGTGAAATGTGAGACAATGGATTGATGATGGATTGAAGATTTGCAAATTAACGGTTACGATATGGTTTTCCTATTTTACTGAGTAACTCTGTAACTTGCGATAAATACAATTCAGTTGCCTTCACCTGTGTTCTCCTTCACCACACAAGTACGATGGATTAATTAACTTGTTCCAAGCCACATCGGCTCGACACATTAGTACACACGTTACAGGGGGTTCTGCTTAATGTTTTTTTCAAGCTGTAGAACTACTATTCGACAGTTCAAGTACAAAAGATACTCAGTACATTGCATTATGAATCTAAACGCTTTGGTTAATTAACGACTTTAATTTTTACCCTAAAAAATATGAATAGTATTATTAAAAACGAGGTAAAACTCACTATAAACAACTTTTTTTAGAAAAATGATTTTAGCTTTAGATATGAGAGTACGATTCGTAAAATGATTCTTTTTGATTTCAAATATATTTTACTAACAGACTTAAAGAGTGTATGCCCAACGTTTTATACTTAATCAAAGGAAAATGCCTAATACTTAGTAATCCAATGCCATGCATCATTACAACTCAATGCTATACATGTGGAAAAATGTAGACACAATAGATGATTGAATTTTACAGGTTTCTAATTTTGGCCTAACAATGATTCATTCATGATTTCTAGATGAAAACTACCACCTTCATAATGCTCTAATGAAAAATTTATAGGTGGTCAAACCCTAATACGCTATCAGCTCATGAAATTCTTGTTTGTTTTGATTTGAGTCATGTTGATAGGTCCATGACTAAGTATTAATATTCAGGCCAAAAGTAGGCTGGATATGTAATAGGCGAAGTAACAGGCACATACACACACACACACACACTCAAGTAAAAACAATCAAAAGATGAGCGAATGATTGACAAGGTCAAAAAGCATAGGTCCAACAACTCGAGACGAATGGATTGAGTAAATTGTCTCAGGTTAATGTGATAATAGCAACTTACGTTAAACAGACAATTCTTCTAACCTCTACATTGACCATAACTATTCCATTCCACATACCCTTCAACTAAACTCTATCCTAGTTGATTGTGAATAATTTTGGTACATCAATTCAATAAGTCATTTCGAAAAATTCAGTTTTGTTGTTTTTATTATTCAAAAGTCTCCCTATGGGAGGGTGTACGTTCCGGCTGACCTTGTGGGACAAACTCGATCTTTGGCTTCATGTGGGGTCTGAGGGCTCCGGTCGATTGTATCAGCGCAAGGCAGTTAGAGGCCAGACAGTTCGAACGGCTGCTGGATGGCTCGGTAATCCGTTCGGGGTGCCAGGTCTAGCTGGGGAAGCCCGCTTTGCCGCCCTTGCAGATTGGGGATTGTGGGTAGTGGACTGGTTGGAGGGATCTTGTCTATTCATAAATGCCCGAACGGAGGCCACTGCTCGTGTGCGTGCTTTTTGGACGTCCACTTGTCTGTAGACCAATCTAGATAACATGTTCGTTCCTGTATGGGTCAGGGGTGATCACAATACTGGCTCTTGTGAGAATCCTTGTGTTGCTTAAACTGTAACGGCGTGCATGTGCAGCAGGCATGATGGTTAACCAAGAATACTGTCCATAAATATATTAGTACTGCTGTAATCTTTTAATTAAATCTTTTTTTCTGTTTATAGATGAAGAAACAGCAGAAAGCGATTCACCACAAGCGAATATGACTGCTCAAACGGTTTATTTACAAATTCAAGCATTATTTCTTTTTTCAATTGTATGGAGTTTAGGCTCATGTTTATCAACGGAATCAAGAAAAAAATTTGATTTATTCTTTCGTGATGTAGTTTCTGGTGTCAATCAACAATATCCTAAACCAAAATCAATTAAATTAACTAAAGCGAATTCCTTTCCAGATCGTCAAACTATTTATGATTTTTGGTTTGATAAAAAATCTCAAGGATCATGGAATGAATGGATTAGTTTTAATTGGAATCCAAGTAAAGCTGGACAATCTTTTAATCCTTCTGAATCATTATCCACAACGAATGTAACCAGTTCTAAACAAAAATCAGCACCATCAACTGGAACTGATAAAGATTCACAAAGTGAAATGACTGTGAATACCAGTGAAACTGAACGAATGTTTTTCTTTCTTAATCTATATACAACACATCATATTCCATTGCTTTTAGTTGGACCTACAGGTATAATTAACACTTTGATAGGAATAGTTTCTTTTCCTAATTCATACTTTTATGTGACCACAACTATCGTTTATATGAATGATAGAATAATGTTTGAAAGAATATGTTAAACCAACCAACCACACGACCTCGAGTAAACCAATTGGAACTCAGATATCAGCTCACGTATTTTCGCGAAATTTTTAGTACTGTGATAAACTACTGGTACATTGCCATTGACGAAGGAAAAACAGGCAATATTTGATCTTTATATAATTTGGACTCAATAAACAATGTTATGCAACCAAAAAGTGGATTTCGAATGGTGGTCAAGCCGAATCACCAACTAAACCTACTCCCAAGGCAGATTTTTTGTTCATATACTTGATATGATTCAATGAGTAGTCAAGAATGTTTAGTGAAGCTAGGTAGTACTTTCTCATTGGAAATCTTACTCTAAATCTCAACCCCAAGTTTCTTAAGTTTGTAAAAAGAAGGTTCAAAACATATGTGATCATAGCTGACGTCATTTCGTGGTGGAAATCCTAACGCTAATTTGAAAGACTAACTCAAAACTCCTGCTTAAATCTATCTATTTTGCATAATAGCTGGTATCAGATGGTGACGAAAACTTCATAGGGTGATAACTCAAAACACTAGTACGACTTGTAATAGCTTGCCCTCTTTTTTTAGCTTTCGCCTTTTAAAAACTTTTCCCGTTATGATTTGGGATAACTAGTGCGAATTAATTATTGTTTAGATCACCGCATTCATTCTAAATAGTTTTATGTATAAGTTCGCGTATAACATTTCTGACAGTAAAACAATGATTGCTTTCATTGGTTTACTAAAATTTCAAGATAGTGAACACTGAGTCTGAAGTGTTATACATAATCTTTCACTTTATTATTCCTCATTCGAACACCAGAAACTAATGGTTCATCAGTTTGATTACTAACAAACACAGACATTTGATGACATGCGATCTAACGAGTGAATATGCTATGAAATAAATATTCTTTTCCATTTCTGTGTATCATGCTTAGGCGAACTACGTTTGTACGACGGTGGTAATAAGAAGTCAAATGCGAATTCAGTTGGATAACTATTGCATGCAATTGTTCACTTCTGTGGAGAAGGTGAATAGGCCAAAGCGATACGATAAGACATGACTAAATATTTATAGTCAGGTAAAAATAGGCTAGACATGTAGTAAGCAAAATAAGCAATGCGCACACCCACTCATGATATGTGAGAATAATTGACAAGTCCATGTAAATGATGACTCAAACTGGAAAGGTTAATCAGTTTGTCCAAAAGCTCGGACCATCCTTGTGGAGTCAACATATTAGTACACACACTACAAGTATCTTTTCATGCGAAGTTAGCGAGCATTTCGATTAAATATTATTCTACGTATTTTGAGTAAAATAAACATCTGTAGACTAAGAAATTATATGAGGAACAAAATCATCTTGGGTTGAATGTTGAAGTATTTAACAATCAATCGGTTTCATGGTCATTACTATTAACAAACAAAATGAACAGTAGTAAACATTCCATAATCTATTTCTTGATATACATTCTTTCACAGAAAAAACGGAAACAGTTATCCTATGTTCCTTAATTTTCAATGATCAATTAAAAACCACGATACGACAACTAAGGCTTCAAGCACAAAACACTTGAAAGAAGTATCTTTCTTTCACTTGTGTACAATCCAATCTTAAACTTTCATTCGTCTTAATTATAGATGACAAGACCACTGATAATAAACATAAATGAATAAGATGTATATTTGAAGGTATTGTTTTTCTATGGTATAACCATTAAATAAATAACCTATTACCTCTGTTCATTTGTATCAATGTTACGATAACATTTCCTTTAAAACTTTACATCAATAGTTTGTTCCTATGAGTAGCAGCTGTTAGTCGACCACATTGTATTATCCTATAACATATTTTTCAACCAAGGTCCTATTTATTTTACCTTGAAATCATGAATAAATCATTGTTAGACCAGCATTAGAAACCTGGAAGCACTGGACGGCCGTTTCGTCCTTGTATGGAACTCATCAGCAATGCGCATCCACAACTCTTGCTACAGGCAGAGTTCGAACCCAGGACCTTCGGTCTTGTGCGTGAACGCTTAACCTCAGAACCACTGAAACCGCATTCAACGGTGTTAACATCCTATTTATTAGTTTAATTAACCCGTCCCCAAAAAATATTAACCATGACAAGTTCATGTTATTTTTGTCATCAGTTAGTTTTGATTTCATTTACTTTTCATTCATTCATTCATGCATATTTTTTCTTATTTATTTAGGAACTGGTAAATCTGTTATTGCTAATAATTATTTAATTCAATTACCGAAAGAAAATTATTTACCAAATATTTTAAATTTTTCTGCACGTACAAGTGCTAATCAAACACAAGATATTATTATGTCACGTTTAGATAGACGACGTAAATGTGTCTATGGTCCATCATTAGGTAAACAATGTATTGTATTTATTGATGATTTAAATATGCCAATGAAAGAAAAATATGGTGCACAACCTCCAATTGAATTATTACGTATGTGGATTGATCATAATCATTGGTATGATAGAAAAGATAATACAAAACAATATTTAGTTGATGTAGTAAGTAATTAATAGATTACTATTACTGTTATTATTATTATTATTATCATAGTGATTTTTTCAGATGAATTGTATAAAAATTGGAATTATTGTCTGTTGTATAGCAGCAGTTGATTAGTGAATACAAGTCATACAATTTGAAATCATCAATCAGTCACTGTTAGACCACCATTAGAAACCTCGAAGCACTGGACGGCCGTTTCGTCCTGGTATGGGACTCCGCAGCAGTGCGCATCCACGACTCCTGCACCTCACAGGATTCGAACCCGGGACCTTCGGTATTGTGTGCGAACGCCTAACCATCATCGGACCACTGGGCCGGCATCCAACAGTGTTAATGTCTGTATAATGTCATATAATGCCTACACATACATAATCAAATTCGATGATTGGTAAATGTTAGCAAGTTCTAATGGCCCAAGATCTGATTCCAGCTTAGATGAATGATCAAGTATGTGATGAAATAAATTTTCCCTTCAATTTCATAGGCGAAATCTGTCTGTGCAACGATGGTAATAAGAAGTCAAATACAGATTTAGTTGGATGAATTTAAGTAATCATTCAAGCAGACAGACATGAGAATACAGAGTGTAAAAAAAGCAAAGAGAAGCAAAGTGGAGAAAGCGAGTAAGCCAACTCAATGCAATGAGGCGTGACTAAGTAATTATAATCAGACAAAAATTAGCTATACATGTGATAAGCGAAGTGCGCAATGTACATATTATATGAACAGTGACACAATTACAGTATAAGCTAAACTATTTCCTCAGCGTCCCAACCCAGCTAACTAAAAGAAGAAGTCCAAAGTCCACAGGAGAAATAACTCATATACAATCGGCTTGGAATGAACGACCAACAAACAGTCAATTCATATGTCTTTTATAAGAGTGTACTGAAAAGACAAAAAACTGAAGGTGATAACGAGCAATTTCGGCATAAAAATAAGAAGTTTACGAATCCGTTTCTATTGATCTAGCATCCGGAACAATTTCTCTCTAGTTCGATAAGTTAGGAATTATAAGTATGAAATGAATCTAAATAATTATTTATTCATTTAAAGAAATATAATGTAAATATGGGACTACTGTTTGACTCGTTCCGAACCGACAAACAACTATGTAAGTATGATATAAATAAACAGATAAAATCGTAATAGGTTCACCGTCAGGTCCTATCCTAGTGTTAGCGGGACACAGATTGGATTAAAGCATGATTGCGTTGCTGCACGCTGATTGGCTAAATCTCATCCAGTCAGTGCTAGCTAGAAGCTCCCCATGTAAACTATAGAGATACTAACGTCGTTCCTATTTTGCTTCGCTTTTGTGTTCCATCTAACCTTGTTATTGGAATTTAATCTATTTCCTGTTCAACCATGTTCTGATTTGGGACAACGTTTCGAGTGAATTGGTGTCCAATAATACTATACATTAGCAATAGCTGGGTTTTAATAAGAGAGAATTATAATACCTAGCAGATCTTTTTCTGTCTAACTAAAAAAATAGGTTACCTTTCAACTCTTTTCTCAGAGGCATATGTATATGGTGAACAGGAAGGCAATGACTTCTACTGTTAGTATGGAACCTGGTTTCATGAAGCTCTAATCATTCAACGGAGATGTAGCGAATGATGTACTACAGGATAGACTGACTAAAGCAACTAACCTCTGTCTACAGTTTTCTAGCCAATCTGTGCTGGTTTCTCAATAAACAGATAAGTTACCTGGGCTAAGCATATCCACGTATATCTACGGATTCAGCTTCTCCTGTGGTAGTTGAACCTAAACTAGAACGGATGACTGATCTGAATTCGGGTTGTTTTTGTTTTCTGCTGTCGCTAATTCATCATACATACTCTGATGTTCAAATATTGATAAGTATGATAGAAAATTATAATTAAACATTAAAATACACACAAAAATTAAGAGATTCTCTTAACGTGTCCCTCGTATAAGTATCTTTAGAATATCCTAGTCATTTCCAAAATCAGAATAGTTATTTTACTTCTGAATACATTATATTAGACTCATAAATTTTGGTGTGATTTTTAAAAATTTTGAGACTGACTCGCAGACATCAACCGTTTCAAAGCCAAACTCGTGAATTTCTTATCGATTATTTGCGATTATACAATACCAAAACTTTGATCATAATATCAAATCATTTAGCCTAGTGGCTTATTTGCAAATTTAATGGACGTGAAATCGGTCAGCATCGAAGATTCAGTAACCTGACTATCGTCCCCAGCATTTGGGGGCTGGTTTCTTTACTGCTCTGTGTACTTCAGTTCGCATTGTGGTGAGGTTACTGGACTCCAACCCGGGTTGATCGTTGGCGGTTTCAGCCGTTAATGTCATGCTGCTGTCCTTCAATGGTCTGGAGCACAACAGCTAACTGAGAACTGGCACGGACCAGGGGAATCTGATTGTTAAATTAAAACGCTAATTTAGTTTGGATAATTAAATAACATTTTTAAACTCAATCTTAATGCTACATCGATTGAGTTTATGACAAGTTTTCAGTTTACATGTGTCTCATCGATTTATAATTATGTTGAATTTCATTGAACTAGCGTTTTATGGCTGCTATGGGACCACCTGGAGGTGGACGAAGCAATATTACATCACGTTTAACTAGACATACAAATGTATTAGGTGTCAATGAATTCGATGATCAAACAATGTTGAAAATATTCACAACTATTACTGATGCACATTTTTCAAATGGTTTTGAACCGAAATTTATGCAATTAAGTAAAGTACGTTCATTTTTATTGATAAATTCTGTTTTTATTCGAAAGAAGATATGAAAATAAGTTAGGATTATTGCAGTTGATATCACAAACTGATCTTAACTAGACTACCATTGAAAATCTGGACTCAATAGACGGCCGTTTTATCTTGATGAATCCCATACTTAGAAAAAACAGCTGCCAAATGCTTCCAGGTTTTCAATTGGAGCTCTAGTTCAGAGATCAGCTTGTGATTCCAAATGTGTTAAATTTGTCTTAGTCAAATGATTTAGAAAATCTTTCCGTTTGTGAATTAGTCAGAAGAAAAATACAATTTTTCGATTAAATTAGATTTCAACTGATAAGACTTTAAAATTATCAGTTTGGAAATCGATCGCAACTTGGATAAAGATGGATATGGGCTAGAAGTGGAATCCAGAACTTTCGATTGCATCTTGTTTGATGCTCTCCATATTTAGACGTACTAGCATCTATGTTGATGTTTTACTCCGGTACTTAAACTCATTCACCCTTTACTTCAGATATTCAACAAATTATCGATTAAGTCCATACATATTCTTCATTAACTTGTTCAATAGGGACGAACTTTATTATTTATTTTTAATTGTTTGAATCATCTCACTGGTGTTGTTTTAACAACAGTTTTTTGATCGGTTTCTTTTGATATAACTTACTCAATATCCATGTTTATTTGAGCGCATGTAACTTAGTGGTAATTAATATCAAGGCCATCTACTGAGTATGTACTTATACCACAAAGAGGTTAATTATTAAGATATCAACAATGAAATAATCCAACCATTTATAAGATCGTAGACCACAACTTAATTTTGATTTAAGCTTTAGTAATTTATGATATTTTTTGATGAAAGTTTTCACCAATAATAATATAGTGCTCAGTAATACTAGTCCGTTAATTTCTCTTTTCCAAAAAGAATTGACAATAATTTACGAATCAGAACAAAACAGTTGTACAGTGTTCAATTTTTAAAAAGGTTTCTTCAGTTGATATTGTTTTATTATCAAAAAAAAATCACTTTAAACTTGTTTAGATATTTGATACGACACAAGTAAACATAACCTCTAACCCTGGATTATTTGATTATCATGATCTCTAATGTGAATCTCCTAACATTACTTAAACTAACAGTAATTCAGTTTATGGACTTGTGCCATGTTAAGGTCTAGTTGAATATACTGATAAATTATACATGATAAAATATAGTTTCCAGTTTACTTACTTAGCTACACCTGTTACCCCTAGTGGAACATGTGCCACCAACCAGAGTTCTCCAGTAGCTCTCACCTAGGCTGTCTTTTCCAGTTCTACTCAATTGCTATCCATTCTTTTCATGTCTACCTCCAATTTTCGGCTCAACACGTTATTTGGTTTTTCCTCGTTTCCTTTGGTCTTGGGGATTTCAAGTTGGGACTGGCCTTGTGATGCAGTTGGGTGATTTCCGCAATGTGTATCTTATCCACCTCCAGCGCTTCTTCCTGATTTCCTTCTCAGCTGGAATCTGGTTTGTTCTCTCCCACAGTAAGTTGTTACTGTCGGTATCTAACCAACGGATCCACAGTTTCTAGTTTCATACCCGTAATTTTGGAATAAGGCCTTGGTAATTCTCCAAATTTTCGCTCCATACAATAAAATTAACTGTCTTGACATTTGTATTGAAAATTATGACTTTAGTGTTGGTTGATGATTGTCTTGAGTTCCAGAAGTTCTTCACTTATAGAAATTCTGCCGTTGCCTTATCAATCTGCTCCTTCACATTTGCATCAGATCCCCTTGCTCATGTAAAGGCTTCTACATCCTCCAAAGCTTCTCTGTCAAGTGTGATTCAATTAGTGCTCACTGTGTTGTATCTAAGAGTATATGTTGAGGCCTATTACTGCAGAGGTTGCTACTACACTGACCGACTTCTTATGCATTTGTTACTCTATGTGTAAATTAGAAATACCATAGTGTTTCTAGCTAAAATTCATGAAATTGATTTCAAGAAAAATTATTCATTCATACTATAACATTTATCATTTCTTCGTCAATAAATTTTTTCTTCCTTTCCAAAAATTCAGCTATTAGTTCAAGCAACTTTACGTGTTTATAAATTGGCTATATCAACATTTCTACCGACACCAGCTAAATCACATTATGTATTTAATTTACGTGATTTTGCTCGAGTTATCAAAGGTATACGTTTAGTGCCAGCTAATAATATGAAAGAAGACGACAAACTGATGCGTTTATGGATACATGAGGTAAATTAATGATTGTTTACATTAAAGAAATTATTATTGTTATTATTGGTTTGTTTTGTTTTACTGAAGCATCGATCAAATAATTTGAACTAGAATTTCGTTTCTTTATGAAAATTAGAATTTTGATTTATGTGCAAAAACACATCAATGTAAGAGGAAAAATCATTGACTTTACTGCCTTGATTACGATGTATTTTCAGTTTTATACATTTAAACAATTGTGGTGGGCGATACTTATAAGTAGTATATGATGCGAGTAAAAACGTAATGTCTGGCAGCAGAAGATGGGGGAAGATCAAGAAAGGAAGAGCGGGAACACAATGGGATTTGTATGAAACGCATGAACAGTGAAATGTCAGACAATGGATTGATGTTTGCAACAGGAACAGTCCAGTTTGATATGATGGATTGATATTTTGCAAATTAACGATTTACGATATGGTTTTTCTATTTTGTCAATTAACTCTGTAATTTGAGATAAACACAATTCGGTTTCCCTCACCTGTCTTCTCCTTCACTACAGTATCAGTGATTCGATATCATGTCTTTATACAACATAAGAATTATCAAACCATTTTATACAACTGTAATATGTCTTACAGATTTTACTACAATTTCCATTTTTAATAATTTTTGTGGTAAGAAGTAAAATACAAACAAATATAAGAGTTAAACAACATTAATCTTAGACATTGATAATTTACTCTCATATCTTCTCTCTGACGTAACATATTCATTAAAAAGAAAAAAGAACACTACTGAGCCATTTTTGCATTTGTGATGGATGTATGACAGGGAAAGCTGACTGAGCTCAAACATGCACTTAGCTTATTGATTATTAAATATGTTTCATTGAAGCAATAAGTCGATCATTGTTAGACTGCAATTAGAAACCTGGAAGCACTAAACGACAGCCTCGTCCTAGTATGTGCTCATTATTGACTAGCTTCGTGTTGAAACTCTTGAAGTTCAACTCTGTCGGGTCTGAGGCAGTTACTCCCCGCAGACAACGGATAATGTCACGTAGTACCCTGAACTGATTCAAGTGAGACACTAACATAATTGGATACTGGCAACTCAGTGGTTCAGAGGTTAAGCGTTCGCGTGAGAGACCGAAGTTCCTGGGTGGGTGCACACTGCTGATGAGTCATTTACTAAGGAAGAAATGGCATTCCAGTGGTTCCAGGTTTCTACTGGTAGGTCTAACAACGACCGATTCATAACTCTAACAAAAATATTACATATGATTTCCTTTCCTCTTATTGATTTCTATTCTGAACTGATTGACAGTGGCTGCTTGTAATTGTGTGAAATAAGGTATTGTCTACTATCACTTATTTTGATTTTCTATTTTTGGTTGTGAATATGGCATTAGATGTGGCGTGATCTGATCCCTGTTTAGTGGATCGTTTGGGTATCCAGTTTGGCAGTCACCAGTGTTATTATCGTAATAGTATAGTATACTGTGATGAAAAAATATTTCAATTCATCCATTATCATGGTTTGATTAATATATATTTGAACATAATAAAAAGTTGATAAAATGATTTTGGAATTGTTCATGCAACGTCAGTTTATATTTTGTTATTATATATGATGAATGAATTTTCTTCTATGGAACCATTTGACGACCATGTTATACTGATCAAAAGATTTAAAATGAATATGAAAACTTACTTCTTATCATCAGTGAGTACAAACAATAAGGCTGAATGTATCCAGTGTTCAATCACGTATCGACAGACTGTTTATAACAAGGAAATCTAAACCATCCTTGAATCTCAGCCCTTAGTTATGAATCAAGTTTTAACATGACAGCACCAATATTTTCTGAACAAACTAGTAGGATAGCATTTCGACAATACCTTAACACTAACCAAGAATAATATTCGAAGACTAAAAATCTATTTCAGTCCTTGTAAGCATTCGAGAAGAAGGATACAGATTATATAATCTAACAGAGATTCACTAAATATGTAAAATCTATTTAAGCTCTGTCATACACTATCCATTAACAAAGTGTTATGCTTGACGATCGATATGCTTGAACTATTACGAATTCACCTTAGTCGGTAAACGAGAGTTAAGACAAGTGATTCAGTGACACGATAGGCTACTCTAATTTGAGCCTCCCAAAGCCCCTACTAACTATATCAAAAAGTCTTGATATGGCGTAGAAAGTGTATTCTACAAGTACCCAGAAAATGGAGTTTATTTATACATCATAGAAACGTCCATCGGAGAGCCATAAAAATAGCGTACTAAAATAATATATCAATCCATGACAACCAAGGATTTTCCGGGTGGGAAATGTAACCTCAAGGTCAACTGAGCAGCCCATGCTCGAAAACAATATTCAAAGTTAGGACCTTTATCTAGTGAGTTCTTGGGATCTAATTTTCCCAACACGAAGTCTATTTTCTGACAAACTAATAACTGACTGCAAATTCATTGTACTATACGTACTCTTACCAAATTAATTATTATTACTTCGTTTTATAACATTTACAGGTTTATCGTGTATTCTATGATCGATTAACTATGACAGAAGATGAAGATCATTTCTTTGATATTGTTCGTCAAACTTGTTCTGATGTATTTCGTTCAAATATTGATAAAATTTTAGGTCATTTAAGTTTAAGTGGACGTGTTACTGATGAAGATGTAAGAAATTTATTATTTGGTAATTATATACAAGATGATGGTTATTATGATGAAGTGACAGATTTTAAATTACTTGTTAATCGTATGGAAGAATATTTAAAAGATTTCAATGCATTATCTAAAACACCAATGAATCTTGTTATGTTTAAATTTGCTATTGAACATATTAGTCGTGTAGCACGTGTTTTATTACAAGATAATGGACATGCATTATTAGTTGGTAAGAAATTCTTTTGTGTTTGTTTATTTATATTAAGTGAATTGCTATTATTATTTATCGAATATTATTAATAAAAGATAATGCCGATTAGAAATATTGAAGGTTGAATAAGTTTAGCTCAAAAAAAACAAACAAATTTCGATAAAATTCAACACAACTAGAGAAATGTAGTGTCGCATGTACATGTAACTTTTTTTAGCTAGTACAATTGAGATGTTTGTGATAATATAAATGAAAATGGGTTTCTTGGTCGACGATCTGACTCTATTATGAATTTGAATTGTCAGTTTGATTTCATTTATTTCACTTTGGCTAACCGTATTCGAGTGACAGAGGAGAAATAAAAAGCCAAAAACGATTTCAAACTGACAAGCTAACTCAATGAGTAGTATGACTCAGTCTTAAAAGCATGAATGATACAAAAGTTAGGTATACAGACACACGCACATACATGCACACATGTATAAAGAATGCTCAAAGTTATACGTAAGCAATTGGCAAGGTCAAATATTTAAATGACAGGACAAATAGCAAGATTAGAATAATTTACATATCCGAAGGTTGGAACTCATCATGTGATCAATGCCTTCCATCTTTGCGTAAATCTTTGTGTTTCAAATACCTTTTCGTAATTTAACTAGACTTATGGGTTGAAGAATCCTGGTCAATGGTGGCCTATACTGTATTATGTGGAAATAGGGTTGAGTAAGTAAGTGTGTCACATGAATTGTTAAACTCAGCACTTTCAGTTTCCATCGAGTAAAATCAAATTAACTAGAAAGATTTCTATGATTCCTATTGAATCATTGATAAAACACACCAATCATCCAGTGAAATCAAGGAATCACTGTCTTCCCAAGTGAATTAACTACTTTAAACTATTCTGATATTTATGTCTATAAACATTATCATTGGATCATACAGTTAGTTATGGAGTACTGAGTTAATTTCGATTCTTTGTTTCTTAAATTCAGGTGTTGGAGGTAGTGGTCGTCAAAGTGCTACACGTTTAGCCAGTCATATTGCTAATCATGAATTATTTGTCATTGAAATAACTCGTACTTATGGTGTAAATGATTGGCGTGATGATATTAAACGTTTACTACTCAAAACTGGTTTAGAAGCTAAATCTACTGTATTCTTAATTAGTGATACTCAATTAAAGCATGAATCATTTATGGAAGATCTATCAATGTTATTAAATTCTGGTGATGTACCAAATTTATTTCCACCAGATGAAAAAGCTGAACTAATAGATAAAGTACAAGGTGTTGCACGTGCAGAAGTAAGTTAGTGATTTTGAAATGTCTACTGTATTTTTAGGTGCATGTCAGTGTGCTACTAACCAATATAAGTAGTTAAACATTAAGCATATTAACAGATTTCTGGACAAGCAGAATTCGTTACTTTGGAAAAGTACTACTCTACATATATTTATACAAATAAATAACGATGATTTGGCGGGTTTTTTTTAAAACTCATGAGGACGTATTCAACTATGTGGAAGAAAGAGTCTTATGAGTTCAAGAATTAATGAAAATAATTTACCTAGTGACGTAGTTTGTGGTTGAGAGTTTGTGTGATTGTAATGTAGTAGTATTCCCTCAAGAACTGAAATCCTCATCTAATAAAACATAGTAAAGCATATAGTACCAGAGAACTATTTTTCTCTTGTTCGAAACTTCTAAACCTTACTCACCTGACATTACGCCTATATAAATAAAAACAAAACAGACAGTATTTGCAGTGAACAATTAAACAGTAACATACTCACATCTCAGTGTTACTTTTCATCCTTTAGTATCTGTTTCATTAAATTAGTGACCACCTGAACTTAGTAATTCACTGGATTATGGATGCATTGATGTTTGAAACAAAAGTTTTTGAGTTTGCTTCTCAATGTGAGCATCAATGCTGAGATAGGATCAAATTCACATGGCGTCTGCCCAATAAGATGAAACGAAATTGAAGTGAAATTCAAACAATCGTTCAGAAGATTCATCATTGAATTCTTTTATCGGTTCAATTATTCACAGTTAATTATCGATCCTGTTTATACTTGAATCAATTAATTCTATAAATTAAAAGGGTATTGAATATAACACTATTTAATACAAATTATCTCAGAAATTAGGCGTTCACGCTCAATAATGAAGGTCCCTGAGGACTCTTCTTCCTTTTTTTTTGTTTTTTTTTGATGGAGAAAACATGG